AGCCCACTTTCCAGGGGTGAGACCGCGGTCCATATGAGCAGTTATCTGACCAGGGAGGGCCGGAGTCCGCAAGGCTCAGAGCGGCCGCCCTCGGGGAGGGACGCGGCTCTCTCGGCGCTGGCGGGGCGGCGGGGCGTGTGCCACACGACGCCGTGGAGGAGCCAGCTTCCCCCCGGGGCCGCGGAGTTACCTCCGCCAGCTTCTCCTGCTTCAGTTGTAGTTTCGAGAGACCTCTTTCCAGAGCAGAGCACAGCTACTATTTTTGTGCTTTTCTTTCTTCTGCTTGGTGAGAGTAACAGCCGCTCCTCTCGGAGGGGCGCCGTGCGAACAGCACGGGACGGCGCGTGGGAAACACGGAGCCGCGTGCCTGATGCTCTGCCTGCGTGGGGGCCGTGTTCATTGCTCTGCCAGCCTGGGCAGCATGCGTGTGCCCACGCCCTGCTTTCTTGCCACACCTGCCTCTCTCCAGCCCGCTTCCCCACAAAGGCGCGTTTCCGTGGGGGCCCTGGTCTTCACGGGCGATTGCGGGAGGGCTTCCACGTGCGCGTCTTCCCAGCCGGTGGGCCAGGCTGAGCCTAGCGCTGGTCTGCAGGGCGCGGCACTGTGGCGCCCGGGCTCCTGGGTGCTGTGCTCTGCCCAGCACCCCTGTTCTGAAGGGTCTGCCAGCACCGCGAATGCCTGCGGGGCCCCTTCTCTCCCCGCCACCCCCATCCTTTATCTCTGCTTAAAAACGGACCTGGAGCCGGATAAAACCAGGTCTCACTGAGCAACACGCAGCGTTCCTTGGCTCTCAACCCCGCAGGAGCTTCCGAAATAATTCCTGTGCCCGGGCCTGGCGCCAGCAGCGCCAGGGAGTGGCCCAGCGGCGGGGCCTCGGTCTCGGCCTCTGTCACCTCCCGCCCTCTTCCGTGCTGGGCGGTTCTCACGTGAGGCCGGGCTGAGGCGCTCCGCCCAGTGTCTTCGCCCTGGGGCGACTCTGGTCCTGGGAGGCTGCGGGCAGCAGGGTTCTCGTCCAGCTCCCGTCGGCGCCGGGCTTTGCCAAGGCCGCGCCTGGACCCCGGGGGGTGTGGAGAAGAGGCAGGGCGTGCCCTCGGGATGGGCCAGCGCGTGCGGGGCCCTCTCAGACTTCTGCCCCCACGCGCGGAAAGACGCACGGGAGACGTAGCCCCAGGGACCTGGGGAGGCGGCGGGCCAGCCCGGGGAGGCTGACCGGCCATGGGGCAGCTGCTGGTCACCTCTTGGGCACTGCCCGGGGAGGCCGCAGACGGGACGTAGGAGGGACAGTAGCTGGGCCGCGGCACTTGCCGGGGTCCTGGGCGGCCAGCCCGCTGTCCAGCTGCAGGGCGGCTGCAGCAGGCGCTGTGGCGTCAGACACACAGAAGCTCGGCCGGTGCCTGACTCCCGGGGAGAGAACATTCCTGCCCCCCGGGCTGCCGCCCTCCGCCTGTCAGCGCCTCACTCCTCCGGAATACTTGCTCGGCCCGTTTCCCAGGCAACCAGACGCCAGCGCGTTGCTCTCCTTCGGTCTCCTCCCAGCACCTGGGAAGCCTGGGGAGCAGCAGGCTCGTGTCTCGCAGGCCTCGAGCTCCCGGGGGACGGGGATGGGCCCCTCGGGTGTGGAGGGGCCCCGGGGCGTCTGCGAGCACCACAAGGAGCCGCGTCTGAAGTGTTTGCCGTGGAGCCCCCGTGACGCCCCGTGGCGTGGGTGCTGCCTGTGTTCACCCCATTTTGCAGGCAGGGAAGCTGAGGCACAGGGAGGCCGTGCGGCTGCCTGAGCTCACACGGCACTGAGACTGGAAGGCAGGCAGCCCCGTCCCTAAGCCCCAGCGTCACCACGCGACCGGGCCGCTCCTGGAGCTGTCGCCTCTGAGCTTCCTTCTTAGGGATGAAGGGGGTCGTTGCCACCGCCCCCCAGGCCTGGGAGGTGCAGGTTGTATGTGTGCAAGAGGGTCTCTCGAGCACAGCCCCGGGGACATTCGGGCCAGGATGACATTGTGAGGACCGTCCTGTGCCCTGGAGGACGCTTTGCGGGGTCTCTGGCCAGCAGCAAGGCCCCCCGCCCCCGTTCCTCAGCTCTATAGTTAACAATGTTGCTAAGTGCCCCCGGGCCATGGTCAGCCCAGGCGAGGAGCGCTGTGGACCTACATGCCCCGCGTGCACTCTAAGGCCTCACAGAGACTCGGTCGTTGTCGTCTGCCAGCCCTGGACAGCAGGGCCCTGACCGCTGTACAAGGTGGCGGGGGGAGGCGGCGTGGGCGAGGCCGCCTCGGCCCAGGAAGTCCCCCGCCTCAGTCTCAGGGCCGGGAAGACCCAGATCGCAAACGCAGGCCACCAGGCCTGGCCCCAGGGCAGTGGGTTCGGGGCCTCGGCCCCTGTGAAGAGACTGGCGGTGGCCGCGCAGGTCGCGGCTCCGGCCCCTCACCTCCCTGTGGCCCTGCTGCCTGGCTGCTGGGGGTGGGGTGCGGCCCCCATCCCGTCTTGCTCGCCTGCCCTCCCCGCTTGCCCCGTCTGAAGAGATCCGCCAACTTTTAAAAGGACGGCACTGGGCTTGAAGAGCAGGCACCAAGCCCTTCGGCCCTTGCAATTGGTCGGTTTTTCTGCATAAGGGCTGAGGCGTGGAAATGAGGGGGTTTCTATGGTAACCAATTACAGCTCGTGATTGGTGGAAACTGACAGAAATATCCTGCCTGTGAAGTTATGCGACCAGCAGGCCAGGCTCCTGGGCTGCTGCCGCGTTTCCTGGGGCGCTGCTTCCCCAAACGGGGCGGGGGCCGGGGGGGCCGGTGGCTGCTCTGACTCAGCCCGCGCATGGGGCCTCGCAGCGCCTGGCGGGGCCGGCGGGGCCTGGGGAAGATGAGGAGGCCGAGGCCTGCGTGCTGGGGGCGCCTGGCCGTGCCCTCCGGGCTGAGGGGCCACCCCGGCTGGAAGCAGCGCCTCGTCCCTCTGAGGACCAGGCTCCCGTCCAGATGTGCAGAGGCCGGGAGAGCCGGGGGTCCTCAGCCATGGACCTCCCTGCGGCCCCGGGAGCTGCCCTGGGTGTGCGCCCAGAGGAGCTTCCCAGTGACCTGGCTTCCTGCACGTGGTGGCCCTGCCCCGGCCCGCCCCGGCCCCGGCCCCGCCCGGCTGCCTGTGCGGGGGAAGCTGCGCAGCCCCCTGCGGGGTCATTAGCATAGTGAGCAGTTCCTAGTTTCTGCAGCAAAGCACTTCCATTCTGATGGAAAAACGCGGGCTCCGTGGTTCTTTGGGGGCGAGTCCTTTTTGGTAATGGGCGCTAATGAATGTAATTTCTTCCTGGGAGCACCCTGATGTGCGGAGAGCAGGCCAGCCCGGGTGCGGGGCGCGTGGAATGAGGGGGGGACACGCACACGGCCACGCTCACACACACGTGCGCACTCTCACACCGACACACGCAGAAACACAACACTCACATCCGCACACTCCCCGACCCACTCCCGCGTGTACTGATGCACGCGGCCCCCTGCACACACAGATGCACACTCACATGCACTGACACACAGAAACACTGCCCACCACGCTCACTGATGCTCCTCCCGCGCAGACACACGCGTTCACGCACAGACACGGCAACACTCAGAGCTACATGCTGACTCCCCGCTGCTCATCGCTGCACCTCAGGGACCCACGCCGTCGGCACTCGCTCACGGACGCGCACACAGGTGCACGCCTGGTCTCGTACTGCGACACACCTGCACGGCCTCGCACGCTCACGCGGACACGCCGCCCCGACACGCGCCCGTGCACACCCTGGCCCAGCGGCTCACGCCCAGCCCGGCCTGGTTTCCGGTTAAGGCCGCCCCGCCCCTGAGGAGGAAAAGCTGCCGAGCTGTTCTCGGGCTGGTTCTGAGCGGCTTTTCAGGCTGGCGCCTGGCACGTGGAACCCTCGCCCACCTCCACCCGCCACAGCCGCCAAAGCTCTGGGTTCCTGTCAATCTCCCGAGGTGTCGTCAGTGATGAGCACTGACTTTGAATGGCGCCCGGAACCCATTCTCAGTTATCTAAGCGGGTGGGAGAGGGCGCGTGGGCAGATCCCCACACCCTTCCGCGTGGCTGTCCCTGCGCTCTAGATTTCACGTGACGCTCGGTGAGCGCACCTGGAAGCTCATGTCCCTGTGACCCGCCTTTCTCTGCCCACCCCCCTCTTCCGGAGCCGAGGGGGCAGATAGGAGGTTTTCCAGCACTGCCCCCCCCCGCCCCCGTCCCCCTGCAGGAAGGCAGACGGGGAAGCGCAGATGCCAACAGGAGCCGCGCTGGGCAGAGCCGTGCGTCCGTAAACTTTCTGTGGATGCACAGCAGAGCGAAATCCCAAGCAGGCCCCCAAAGCAGAAGGCTCCCCAGGAAGACACTTGAGGTCACAGCTGCTTTAAAATGTGCATATTCAACTGTGACACAGGTGGAGGTGGGGGTTTGCAGAACGGAGTTCAGGGTGGGGGCTGGGCTCAGGACCTGCTGGCGTCTGGGCCCCTCTGAAGCCCAGAGGGTGGTGGGCACCTGTCCCTCCAGACCTCAGGAGAGGTGGCTGCGGGCTGGGGTTGCCTGCCTTGGGGTGACCGCTGTGACCTCGAGGAGGTTGTCGGCCCCGGCCGCTCTGCGCTGCCCTCACCGCGTGCCTTTGCTGCCTCTGTTTTATTCTGGGTGTTTTTTAGCACAGCAGGGGGGTCTGGGGACGTGGTTTCCCCCTGTGCGGTGGACGGTGGTTATCCGCGCCCCCGCGTTGCCAGCTCCTTGGAAAGACGAGACACGTGACGAGCATGCGGGGAGCCAGCTCTCGGGAAGGCGGTCCGGACGGTTCTTTTAAAAGCTGATTAGTAGATGGCGCTGCATAGGCCTTTGAAGTGAACTAATGAGGGGTTCCAGTTTCCCTTTTGAAGTCGGGATGAGCGCCTGTCTCTGCGAAGAGCACAGAGTGGTGTCTCTTGTGGGGGTGGGGGGAGGCGCCCCGCAGGGCCCCGCACTGACTTGCCTCTGTCTCTCCCGCGCAGTTCCCTGTCCGTCCGCTGGCCGGGCCGCTCCCTAGGAAGCCATGCCTGGATACTGATAGCCATGTGTCAGCTCGCCTTCGACCTGCCCGCCTGTGAGGCCCTGGGCCCCGGCCCTGAGTTCCGGCTGCTGCCGCGGCCCTCGCCCCGGCCGCCCCGCTTGTGGAGTTTCAAGAGCGGACAGCCCGCCCGGATCCCCGCCCCCGTGTGGAGCCCCCGCCCGGCCCGCGTGGAGCGCAGTCACGGGCAGATGCAGAGTCCCCGAGCCAAACGGGCACACAGACCCCGGGACCAGGTGGCTGCCCTGGTGCCCAAAGGGGGGCTCGCCAAGCCCCCGGCTGCCGCCAAATCCAGCCCTTCCCTGGGCGCCTCGCCCTCCTCTGCGTCCCCCGCGGTGGGCGGCGGGGCCCCCACGGACCAGCAGGCCCTCCTCAGGCGCGGCAAGAGGCAGCTGCCGGCGGCCGGCTTCAACAGCTTCGACTTCCGAGGCAGCAGACCCACCACGGAGACCGAGTTCATCGCCTGGGGGCCCACGGGCGAGGAGGAGGTCCTGGAGGCCCACACCTTTGCCCGCGGCCCTACCACGGCCTCCAGCTTCCAAACGCGGAAGACCACTGTGGCCACCCCCGCCGCAGCCACCACGGCCACCTCTGTGACGCTGCAGACTAAGGGGATCACTGCGCCCCCAGCCCCCGGGAACAGGGCCCCGGTTGGGGTTAGCACAACGGAGCCTTCCACCAGTCCCAGCAGAGACAGCGGCAAAGACCTGAAGCCCCCGCGGATTCTGGGAGAGACCTCAGGTAGGCGCCCTCCTTTCTGCTTGGGGTTCACTGGGGGCCAGGGACTCGCTGGGAGTGTGGCTGCGAAGGGATGCCCCGCTTTGCCCGGGCGGTGCTTCCTGGTGGCACTGTGTGTCAGGCGGCAGGACCTGAACCAGGCAGAGGGCCGGGAGCGGGGCGCGGGCCCCCGGGAGACACAGGCACGGTGCGTTGGGGAGCTGCGCACGCGTGCATCCCAGCGGATGCCGGCTGTGCTCCAGGAGCGGAGCCAGGCCTAGAGGGGGCGCTGTGCCCGCCCTGCTGTGTGGGGGCTACAGAGCCCCACCGGACACGGAGCTGCATCTTCCAGAATTGTAGAGCTTCATGCCCTGGGCCAGCTTGAGGGGCAGATGGGGGCGTAGCTGGCGAAGTCAGGGGCATGTGGGGTCCTCCGGAGCCTTGCAGGGTGTGGCTCTGTGGATGGCCGCTGCCAGGCGGGTCCAGAGTCAGGAACCGCTTTAGGCGGACGGGGAGACCGAGGCCCGAGGGACGGCAGAGCCGCTGTGGTGCTTGCCAGGGCGTCACGGGTGGACTCGGGCTCGGGGTGTCGTTTCTATGGAGGGGCTGGAGGAGGGTGTCAGAGCAAACAGCTTCGGGCCTTCTGCCTCTCACGTAGGGGCGCCTTGTCCCCCAACTTCAAGAGGAGGGGCTCTCAGGCCTCTCCTGGGCGAAGCCTGCCCCTCCACTCACGGCCCCAAGCCTGTGCCCCATGCCATGAGGGGCCGAGGAGAGCACAGAGCTGGGGACCCCTGTGTGCCCACCCGCCTCGAGCCGCCTCTGTGTCTGAGCAGGTGGTGGCTCCGGGTTGCAGGTTGGATCCGGGCAGGCACACCCTGAAGAAGCAGCCGTACTTGCTGACAGAGGATGGGGGGGGGGGGGGGGGCGGGAGGGCGGGGTGCCGATCCCAGGGCATGAGCTCCAAGGGCTGGGGGCACCGGGCAGCCTCCGCAACCCCTGCTTGCTCCTGCCTGTGCAGAGGCTGGGCTCCGAGGGCCCCGGATGGTCCCTTCAGCGCCCAGGGGAGGGAGAGGGTGGCTCCTCAGGGTCCGCCCGCAGCACATCGGCCACAGTTCCCCCTGCACCGGGCCACTGGGCTGGTTGCGACACCCTGGCCAGCAGACAGGTGTGGCCGGGAGGTGGACAGGTTTCCGCGGACGTGGTGGCTTTGTCCCCTGGCCCGCCTTCTCCCTTCACCAGGACGAGAGGAGTGTGGTTTGCCTCCGGACTGCTCTTCCCCGGAGAGCAGCTCATCAGGGAGCGTGAACCCTGGCTCCGCGGCAGGGCCAGGGCAGGAGTGCGGGGCCGAGCGCAGGCCGGCCGCCCCAGAGCCCTTCCTGAGAGCGGCGGCCGCCGGGGCCTGCGCTTCGCTGTCGGCTCTGCGCCGGGCGCTGGAGGGCAGCTCACAAAGCGTCGGCTGTCGCCTCTGTAAACGCGTACGCCGTCATGATAATGAAAGGGAGGATTGCCTTCAGTCACTGTCACCTCCGCCACAGACGTCACTCACCGTGGAGACACGGATGAGAAAACCAGCTCCCATTTATTCCAAATTACATTTGTTATTACTAAAGTTAAACGCTGGGGACGGCATTATAAGCTGCACAAATTAATTCGCAGTACATTGGATGTCTCTAATCCAACGCGACAGATGCTTATCTTGGAAAAGATTTATGGTTCTTCATAATATAATCTGGTGCGAGATTAATTTGTTTAGCAAAACAGATTTAAAGGGGGGAAAATATGTGTTCTGATGCAGGGAAATGTTAATTCTGGGAAGTGGTGCCGGAGCCGGAGAAGGGGCAGCCACCTTCTAGGCCGCGATGAGGAAAGGCGGGAAACACTGGGGCGATTCCTCCCACCGGCGAGCCACCGGAGGCCGGCGGATCCCACAGGAGTGACGCGAGCCCGCCGGGCGCCGAGAGCCCGCGCAGGGCCCCTGGGGAGCCCCGTGGCCTTGGCCTGTGTCAGACAGAGCCCTGGGCCCCTCACTCCTTGTGGAGCAGGACCGCTGCTCGCACATCTCGGTCAGGATTCAAGGGGGTCTCGGGGGTCTTGGGGATCCCAGGGCTGTGCGTGCGTGGCTGGCCGTGCGTGGGACTCCGGGCTCCGCTGTGTGTGCCTGTGCCACCCCGGGAAGGTTCTCGTCTCTCCGCTTCATTTTCTTCACGAGCGAAATTAAAGAAACACCTCTCCTAAATGGCTGCTGTGCGGGTTCCATGCACGAACCCAACGTGAAAGGCTGTGCCTGGCATCTCAGAACCTCCCGGACGCGCCTGTTGCTTTTATACCCAGCAAGAGTGTCTCAGAGAGGAGCATTGCCGGTGTCAAGGGCAGGTGGGGTGGCGGGGACGCAGCACCCCGCCATCTCCCGTCGCAGAGCACCCCCTCTGTGCTCGCTCACTGCCAGACACACCCCGGAGCCTGGAATCCAGGTTCCCGGAAGCGATGGGAGGGAGAGAAGTCCCCCCCACCCCATGCTCTACACCAAGACGGTGATTCAAATGCTGAATTCGGGAAGTCAGTTCCGCTGTCCGTAGAGGGGTGTTTGGAATCGGATTTCGGCAGCTGTGAATTTTGTTTCTGCTTCTGTAGGGAAATGTTGAGGAGGGGCACATTACGCTTTCCCGTCTGCCCGTCGCGCGGGTGTTGGCGCGCGTAGAAAGGGCAGGCGGCCGGTGAGATGGGGTGCTACGCAACCCCCCCAGAGCCAGCATTCCGCGGAACGCCGATTGGTGTGGGCAGGGCCCCCCTTGGCGGCACCCCCGTAAGTGAAGCAATGGGGAACCTCTCCTGGTTTTAGTGGAGTGGTTAAAAGTGCCACCACCTGCCTTTCATGTTCCTGGTATCCTCTTGCATTTGCCCTGTGAACTGGGGCAACTCGCTGGTCCCCTCTGTGCCTCCGTGGAAAATACCGAAGGAACCATCTCATGATGTTGTGAAGATTAAGTTCATGCCCGGTGCTCAGTGCGTGTTCGCTGCTGTTACTGTGGCGGTGATGACGGCGGTGGTGGCGGTGCAGGTGACGACGATGAGGAAGACGGTGTGGGTGACGATGATGGTGATGGTGAGGCTGGTAATGGCGACCATGGCGATGATGCTGGGGATGACGGTGGCGATGATGACGGTGGTGATGATATGACAGTCACTGTCTTTGAGATGCTTTGCGGCCACAGCCGCCTGCTCGTTGCCGTTGTTCGATGAGTCCGTTTGATGAGGTTCCATGTGCTCACCCCTGAGCTGGGAGCTTCCTACCGAGGTGGCAGTGGCACTAGCGCGGACCCGCTTGGGGTGGAGAGTCACCGAGCTCAGGCTCCCGCGGGGCCGAGCCGGCCTCACACGGTGCTGGCAGAGGGCGGGTGTCAGGCGGGTTAGAAGTTCGCGCGAGGCCGAGGGCGGGGGGCTCCCCGGGGCGCCGCGCCCTCCCCTGTGGCAGCTCTCTTGTTGGCCATGGTCTGAGTCTGGAATCACACGGCCTCCTGGGAGGAAAATAGAAAGCCATTCCCTGGGCTCTGGTCTCGAAACTCCTAACGGGAGTGGTGGGGAATTCAAGCCAGCGGAGGGCCGCCCTGCCGTTGGCAGCGGCGGGATCCCCCGGGCTGCGGGTGTCTGGCCTGCTGCGGGCGCCCGGGAGCGCTCCCGGCCCCGCCGGCCCGGCCCGGCCCGCTGGCACCTGGGCCCAGGCACAGCTGGGGCAGCGCATCTCCCAGCAGGGGCCACAAGGCCCCACAGGTCTCCATTGTCATTCGGGGTTGGCTCCGTAAAGGATCAGTCATGTATTTGAGACATCAAGCAGCTCAGGGACAGCAGTGGCTGCGACGTCATCTCAGTGCTGCCTGGCAATTTCCACATCGGAATTCACTCGTGCGTTTCCAAGGAGGATTTCCAAGTTGCTTTGTCCTTGACACCGGGAGGCCTTCCGTGTCCTTTTGTCGCATCCCTCTGTGAGCAGGAGGGACAGGCTGCTGTCATATCCTCTCACCCCAACGGCCACCTGACCTAGACAGTGGAACAACCTTGGGAGCCAGTCTCATGGTGACGAAACATTTTTTTCCAGCCGGGATTGGGCCGGGAGGGGGAGAGGCTACCCTCCCGCTGGGTTCCGAGCCAAGACGGTGGTTTAAACACTGAGCCCCTTTTAATTAACTTGCTGGGTGTTTGCTATCAGGGAAGTGAGTCCGTCCTTGATTTAAAGATATTTGAAGCAAATGACTCATGAACTTCAAAAGTTTTGAGTGGCTTAATTAGGATAAAAGTATCTGTGCACAAATAAGCCGGCAGAGCCCTGCAGAACACCCTGAACGCTGTCGGCGGCGAGGCTGCTCCGGAGGGTCTTCACCGGGACTCTCCAAGCAGGTGCCATGCGGCACCCCCTGCCGGCTGTGGTTTCGAGGGGGACCTGTCAAGTAGTGACAGGCAGGGTGGCCGGCGGGGTGACCGGCCGGCCGGCTGCAGCCCTCCGGCCCCGCCCAGCTTCCCAAGCGCTGCTCTGCTTCTGCTGAGCAAAGCCGCGTTCACAGCAAACGGATAAATGGGCTCTGAGTCATTAAAGCAGCCTGGATTCTTCTGCTGATGGCTCTATCTTGGCTCCCTTTCATTTCCCTTTCACAGGCTGCCTGCTCCAGCTTATTGCATTTAGTGCTTCTTAAGCTTCTTGGTTTCCCCCAGGGCCTCATTCTCCTTCTAAGAGCAGTTAGGGACCTGAAGGTTCTTTAATTCCAACGGATCCCTGGTGTTTATCCTAAGGCACTTTCTACCTGGGAGCTGACTCGCTCAACAGTCCCAGTCCCCAGTTGTCCCTCTCCTCTGCCAGGCCCTCCAGAGCTGCAGGCAGACACCTGGATCGACACTCCCACTCCCTGGAAATGGGTCCCCGCCCTGGGTGATGGGGGTGGGTGGGTGCAGGGGACAGCTTCCTGCGGAGCGTGTCTGCCCCGCACCCCGCACTTTGCTTCGGGCGCACGGGGCAATGAACTCACGGTTTTCGC